TGCACATCCTTCTAGTTGCTGTATGTGGGACGCGGCCTCAGCATGGCTGGAGAAGCGGTGCGTCAGTGCATGCCCAGGATCCGAACCCCGGGCCGCCAGCAGTGGAGCGCAAGCACTTAACCGCTAAGCCACGGGGCCGGCCCGGTTTGTTTCTTTCTTTCATCATAGGTTTGCTTGTAAGCAGATAATGCCCATGAACATTCCTCTCTGTTAATGAAAACCTTTCGGTGTTGGGGTCCATGTTTTCAAACTTTTTAAGGAGATTGTTGAGGTCTGCAGAAGCTTCTGCTAAACTTTTCACTGTGAATTTTCTTGGCGGTTCTTCTTTTCTTCTCCTGCAGTTTCCTTTTCTCTTGACTTTTCTCCCTCTATAACATTATGATGGCTATGATGCCACTAGATGATAGGAATTTTTCAGCTCCATTATAATCTTATGGAATCACCATTGTATACACGGTCCATCGTTGACTGAAATGTTATTATGTGGTGCAACCAAACCCACTTTCAAATCACACTATACCACTTCATGGGTAGCACCTCATAATGGCAAGTACTTTCTAGTAACAAAATATTCCTAATTCCTCCTCCTGTTTCTTGTATCACTGCTATCATTCATTTCACTTATGTATTAGCTAGAATCAGTGAATATATTTTTGCTATTATTATTTTGAACAAACTGCTGTTTGATCAGTTCAGAATATAAAAAATAAAAGTTTTTATTTTACTTTTACTTATTCCTTCCCTGATGCTCTTCCTTCTTTTTTTTATTTTTTTTTTTTTATTTTTTTTAAAGATTTTATTTATTTTATTTATTCCCCCCAAAGCCCCAGTAGATAGTTGTATGTCATAGCTGCACATCCTTCTAGTTGCTGTATGTGGGACTCGGCCTCAGGATGGACGGAGAAGTGGTGCCTCGATGCGCACCCGGGGTCCGAACCCGGGCCACCAGCATCGCAGCGCGCGCACTTAACCACCAAGCCACAGGGCCGGCCCTTTTCCTTCTTTATATAAATCTGAGTTTCTCACCTGTATCATTTCCTTCTCTCTGAAGGACTTCATTTAACAATTTTCTAGGCAGGTCTACTGGCAACAAATTCTCTCAATTTTTGTTGTTCTGAGAAAGCCTTTAATTCTCCTTGACTTTTGAAGGCCAATTTCATAGGATACAGAATTCTAGGCTGGTGTGTTTTTTTCTCAACACTTAAAATATTTCATTCCATTCTCTTTTTGCTTGCATGCTTTCTGAGGATAAGTCAGATGTAATGCTTATGTTTGCTTCTCTAAAGGTAAGGTGTTTTTTCCTCTGGCTTCTTTCAAGATTTTTTCTTTCTCTTTGATTTTCTGTAGTTTGAATATGATATACCTAGGTGTAGTTTTTTTTGGCATTTATCCTGCTTTGTGTTCCCTGAGCTTCCTGGATCTGTGATTTGCTATCTGACGTTAATGTGGGGGAAACTCGGTCATTATTGCTTCAAATATTTCTTCCGTTACTTTCTTTCTTCTGGTATTCCCAGTACCTATATGTTACACCTTTTATAGTTGTCCCACAGTTCTAGGGTATTCTATTGCTATTTTTTAAAATCTTTTTTCTCTTTGCTTTTCAGTTTTGGAAATTTCTATTGACCTATCCTCAAGCTTATAGATCCTTTCCTTCAGCTGTCTACAGTCTACATAATGAACATTCATTATAGGCATTCATTTCTGTTACAGTGTTTTTAGTTTCTAGCATTTCTTTTTTATTCTTTCTTAGAATTTCCATCTCTCGGGTTATATCACCCATCTGTTCTTACATGTTGTCTACCTTTCCATTGGAGCCCTTAGTCATAGTTGTTTTAAATTCACGGTCTGATAATTCCAACATCCCCGCCATATCTGGGTCTGGTTCTGATGCTTGCTCTTTCTCTTCAAACTGTTTTTTTGCTTTTTAATATATCTTGTATATTTTTATTTAAAGGTTAACATGATGTCCTGGGTAAAAGGACCTTTGGTAATGTGGTGGTTTGTGGGGCGAGGGAAGAGTTCTGTAGTCCTATGATTAGGTCTCAGTCTTTTACTGAGCCTGTGCCCTTGGCTGTGAACTTCATAAGCACCTCTCGGTTTTTTCTTTTCTTTTCTTTCACTCCCTGAGGTTGTATAGGAGGCTACAGGGGGCTGAAGTTGGGTATTTCTCTTCTCCCAGGTTGGCTTGGCTGTGGTAAAATCCCCATAGGTTACGCTCTGATAAAATAGTTTTGTTTGAGGGCAGATCTTGTTAAGAAGAATAGAATGCTCTGATGTATTTCATAGCGGCTGCTTTCCCCTTCTCTGTGCCAGATGGCTCCCAGAGGTAAAACTCACAAAAGCGTGTCCCCCACCACCTTGACTGGGCTTCTCCTGGAGTTTATAACTCTCAGACTTGTCCACACTGAGCCTCCAGCCAATTTGTCAACTACAATTTAGCTTTTCCAACCATGGTACTGGTTCTCGCAGAAGTTTCTGCTCTGGTAAGTTATGATTCTTTGTATCCACCTGCCTGTCTCCAATTTTCGGGGCAGTAATTTGCCCTGTGACCTCACTTCTTTGATAAAACTAAAAAGAGTTGTTGATTTTTTTGGCTTATTCAGCTTTTCTTTTCTTCTTCTTTTTTTTTTTTTTTGGTGAGGAAGATTTGCCCTGAGCTAACATCCATTGGCAATCTTCCTGCTTTTTCTTTTGCTTGAGGAAGATTAGCCCTGAGCTAACATCTGTGCCAATCTTCCTCTATTTTGTATGTGGGATACCTCCACAGCATGGCTGACAAATGGAGTAGGTATGCACCCAGGATCCAAACCCATGAACCCAGGCTGCCAAACTGGAGCGCGTGGAAATTAACCACTTAGCCACGGGGCCAGCCCCTTTATTCAGCTTTTTACTTGCTGTTAGGATGGAATGATGATGCTGGACCAGAAACTAGAAGTGTCTGGGATATTATTTTTGAACTCTAAACTTCTGAGACTGCTTAATTCATAAAATTGACGATAAGATTTTAATGGAGAAATTCTGGCCCCAAGATTACTTGAAAATCATAGTTAAATGAATAATAAAGCTTTCATTTATTTAAAGGAAAAATAACTTCATGAAAATAAGTTAGTATCTTTACTGAAAGTAAAATAAGAAAAACAAAAAAGAAGTAATAGCCTAAAACCTAAATCTATTGCCCTAGAATATCCATTTCTTTGCAACGAGGGAAGCTACCTCCCAAGTAAGTGATATAAGCAATATACTTAAAGGTAATTAGACTGATTTCTGCGTGCAGTTGAGAGTTTAGATTTCTTATTTAAATTAACTTGTATACACTGTGGGATTAAATATGATTTGTAGAGAAACTATATGCTGTTTTAAGGGTTTCTTTAGTGTGAACATAGGGTGTGAGTTTGAAAGAAAGAGAGAGAGACAGAGAGATGGAAAAAGAGTATAAGAATATACATCCCCAGGAGAGAAACATGGAAGCTCCTTTTCCTATAAATTTCTATAAAATTACAAAATCAAAAGCGAAAGAAAACGAAGGGGGAAATGCGTTATAGATCTAAGTATGTAAGTCTGTAGCTTCAATACTAGTGCTATAAACACCTCAGTTAGTGCCTGAGCAAGCTGCAGCCCTCCACCTCAGTGGCAATCTTTGCTGATCAGTACGCTTTCCTCTCTTCCACAGGCCCTACTCCTCACAACTGCTCTACAGAAACCGCCCAATAAATAGGGTCCCGAGAACATCCATGTAAGACCTCTGGGCAGAAATTATATTTCAAAGGAGTCCAATCACTTAAACTGGCAGATGTTCAAGTTTAGTTTAGATTCACCTTTATTAAACGAAAAATCAATTAATGAAATTTGCTTTCAAAAGTTTAAAGTTAGCAAGCAGCAAATAAGAAAACAAAATTTTAAAACTTAAGTTACGTTTTGATACTTCATCATATTTTAATCTAATTTTTGTTCTCTATAGGGTCTATACTTCTGGAGGTTGAAATCGCTCTCTCCCTCTCTTAAGTTTAATCATATAGAATATCTAGAAAAAAAATCAAGAAAATCTCAGTAAATATTTGGTGACAATGAGATGCTTTCAAACTGTAGTGACAAAGCAGGTTTTATACAAGTCTTTACAGGACAGCAGCTGTTTTAAAATTTGGGGCCTAATTTTAATAAGAACCTTAGTATTGCCAGAAGTATAATGTTCCTTCTAGCTAACTTAAAGCTAAATGTCAAAAGTAGGTTTTAAATAGAAATCTTTAATCAATGCTGTTTCTAATCCCCCAAATTTAACATAATAACTCATGAAAAACATTACAATATAAGTTTGTTAAGCAATTACCAGTATTAATTTCAACAGATTCACAGAAATATTTCCTCTTTGTCCACATGTTGCTTGTACTAGAGTTGATCATCTGATCTGGAGTATATAGATTAAGCAGTGGCTTTGTCGGCCTGTGTTTTAATATTTATCAAATATATTTCTCATTTTCTCTCCATTTACATTTCTTATTTCACATACCATTTGTAATAAATTTATTCAAAGTTCCTTGTGGAGGACAAGAACTCTTCTTTTCCATCTCTGGTTTTGTTTCCTCTGTTTCTGTCAAGACAGTTTGCTTAGTTTCTTCATGTTCCCTAATATTATTGTCTTTGAGGATCTGAAGAAAACAAGGAAATCTTTTAAAAAATCTACTTTCCATGCAATTTTATGAATGTATGAAACCACCAAATCTCATAATTAAATTCATATCACTACTGTCAACATGGAGAATTACACATACAAAAGAACATTCATGCTCTATATCAGTAGGTATTTGGGGATGTCACAGCAGTGCATTTTTCAGGGCACCTTGACTTAACCTTTTATAACTTGAGTTTCTGCCATTTTCATTTGTGCTTTATGCATACTGAATAAGTGAGCCTATAGCGGGGAGAATAATTAAAAGTGTGCCTTCTCAGTCTAACTCCCAAAGATTATTCAACAAAACATTTGTGGAATGAAATACAACTAAGCTGGAAAGGAGGTAAAATATAATTTTACTTGGACTCATTTCATTTGAAAAATTATATAAGTGACTGAAAAATTAGAAAAACAGATCAAGCTCTCAGAAATTCAAGATTCATGCTTCCACTATTATTTATAGATAACATATTTAGATAGTTCATGGGTGTACTTCAGCCTTCCAGGCTTTTTATGGTAGGTGGTCTAATTATGAAACTGCTGATTTAGAAAAAAAAGACATCTTAAGTTTGTGAGAATATTGTGAGGTTTCTTCCAAGGTAAAAAACAAAACCGAGTTGAGTTAGCCCTGGAAATGAGACCTTCAAATTTGCCTTACTGTCATCATGGGGTGTGTGTGTGTGTGTGTGTGTGTACGTGGGCACACACACGGGACAGCACTTTGAGCGTATTGATAGTAGTTTGAGTGCAGTGGAGAGAGAACGTCACATTGTCACCAGACATGGTAACAAAGGCTAGAGAGCATGGACAGATTAAGGAAGAGAAGAGGAAACATTTAATGACTAGGGAGACAGGCACCACAGCAGCTGATGTAAGCATTATGTAGCTCTTTAACATCAAAGTTCTTTAAACCTGATCATGTCTGTTGGAGTTCTAGCGTAGAGACTTTTTTTTTGAAAGTCTGTCACCATACAAAAGGGCCAAGGTAAAGACACAAAGGTAGATTTTGATTAGGATGGGTGAAAGTTCAGATACAGTAAAACCATATTATTTTAGGTTTTATTATTTCAGAATTTATAATAAATTGACATAGACTAGGATGAAGTCTTTACAGAGTAATCAAGTAATTAAAATCAATGGTAAATATTTTAAATATTTAAAAGGACTTTTGGGCCCTTACGAACTGTAGAAACCTCTATTTTAAAAAATAAACAATTTATAATTCTAATTATGAGCAATTATTATTTAGTAAAACTAGACCAACAAGAGGTCTAACTTACTCTGTACACTTGCAAAAATAAAAATTCGAGTCTCTTCAAATATACAGCACAACATTTTAATTAATTCAGATTTGTCTTTACCTCTTGTAGTCTAAATTACTGAGTTTTTCCTGGACATGGCAAGAAATAATAAACCATATTCCCATTATTCTGAAAATGTGCCCTCTTACCTCTAAAATAATTTGTAGGCACCCTGTTCCATCTTTTCCTTCCTTTTGCTCATTTCTTAGGACCTTTTTAAAACTACCTATTTTAAATGATCACTTCTCATTTTTTAACCAGGCATGTAAAAGAAACCTAATAAGTAAACTTTATAAATAAATTTTAAGATAAGGTTGATTTTTATGTCATATATTACAATATAGTTTTAAGTTTTTACCTGAGGAGTTGTAGATGATTGGACATTTTTATCCTCCAAATGTTCATCTTTTGACTCTGTGGTGTACATGCTAATAATTAAAAGAAAATAATTTGAAAGAAAAAACAAAACTATAAATCCATCTGAAAACAAACATGGTTAATTAAGTGGGATTAATTTTTTAATGATTTTTTTTATCATAAAGTTGTATCACAGTCAAGTCAGATATCTTTATACTTAAAACAGCTCCAAATATTCATTTTAAAGTTATTAACCAAAGTGATGTGCCTAAGTTTTGAAAACCATTATCACACAGAAATTTAACACTTCTCAATGATTCATAATGCTGGGCCATATCTTAAAAGCATATATCAGAAAACTCAGTTCTTTATTTCATGCACTGAACTAGTATGTTTGAGATAATTTCCATCATTGATTTGCTCTATCTTTAGTCACACTCCTGCATAATAGACTCCAAGAAAATTTAAAATGGAATACAATCAACCACATTAATACCTATATCTATAAGTTACTGATACATGCTGTCTTTATACGTGGTCCATTTGAAAGGTCTGTAGGTCCAACATTTAAACAAAATAAAATAGGTTTTATTATTAATAAGAATGAACTGGAAAAAAGAAAGAATGAACTATAGAAACACATCGAGAGAAGAATTAGGTCTGGAAACTTTTATTTTAAAATACCTGTTGTTTCTACTTTCTCTGTGATCTTTGTTGCCTTTGAGTGTTGGGAGAGTATCTTTGCCTTAAAAATATCTTTCAATTCTTGAGTTACTGTTGAGGACAAAATTAAAGATTTCCAGTTTTAATTTTTAGGTACTTGATAAGACCAAACCTCCTAGTGTTTCAAGTATCTATATTTTTTAAAAAAGGCAAGCAATTTTAATAATGAAAAGGAACATTAACATTGGAGTACTTACCATATGCTAAGTGCTCTACATATATTGTCTCACTTTAATGAAGTAAAATATTAGTGTGTAAAATCCTATAAGGGATCCTAACTGAATTTATGACATTAAAACAGAAAATAACATTTATTTAAAAAATTTGATTAAAAAATTAGATCTCTAATTTCCTTTAAAGTAAAATTCCATTTTAGTTAAAGGGAGTATCAAAATTATGTCCTTGTTGTAAGAATGACTACCTGGCATTGGCTGTTAGAACAGAAGCGAAGTGACATTAAGCTCCATGAACAATGAGGTGGCGGTGTCACCTCAGCTGCGCCAAATTCTGAAGGGATGGGCTGAGAGTTAGCACCACTACAAACTGTGAGCTGCAGTGCACAGGAGTCATGAGGTCAGGGCACAAGGTGCATCCACTCAATACTTTTTGAATGCCTACTCTCCTGGGTTCTGAAGGTAAAGCAGCAAAACAAAACCAAACAAGTAGAGGTTCTGCTCTCACGGAGTTTATATTCTTGTTGGGGGTAAGGGGAAGACAAAAACCAATATTTTCAGATTGTGATTAAGTACTGAAGAAAATAAACAGGATGATGTTACAATGACCAAGGTGACATTTGAATGAGGAGAAACTGTGAGTCACAACTAGGCAGATGGACCAGGAGCAGGCAGACATGACACCAAGAATCATAAAAGTAGCGACATCAGTGCACCAGGCAGCATATTTTAGGATCTGCAATGATGTCACAGTTAGAGGACTTGGAATCCAGGCAAGCAGACCACGCATCAGAGCTCCAAAACCTAGATGAGGAGTATGAATAATAAATGGACAGGTGAGCAGCTGTAGGGAAGCTTGATACTGTGTCAAGCAGTATTTGTGCCTGGCAATTACTCAGAACTCTCTTTACAAATCTGCCAAGAGGGGAATTGGTAGGTGGTATGCACAGTAACTAAAAGCAAGGACTTTGGAGGTGAGATAGAAATTTAACTCTCCCTTTTATCTTGTAATAACTGTGGGAAGTTATCGCCCTGGGCTTCAATCTCCTTATCTGTAAAATAATGATATAATATTACTTACTTTATTGGTTATTGTGAGGGTTAAATGATATAATAACAGCTGACTCAAGATGGACTACATTAAGCACTTAACATGAATCATCTCATTTGATTCTCATAATAACTCTGAGTTATTTACTATTATTATCCTTATTTTACAGATGTTGAAACGGAAACCCATGAAGGTTAAGTAATTTTCCCAAAGACACACAGCTAGCAAGTGGCATTGCTGGAATGTGAACCAAGTACTCTTTAATGTTATTCAAATCCTTGTTAACCTTGGTATTGTTGGCCTTTATCCTTTTAGTTATTCTGATGATACTGCATTGAGGATTTAAGTTGCATATTTCTGATGACTAATATATTTTCATATATTTATTGGCCACTTGAATACCTTCTTCAATAAAGTGTCTGTTCAAATCTCTTGCCCTTTTTTTTTAAAGATTTTATTTATTTATTTATTTTCCCCCCAAAGCCCCAGTAGATAGTTGTATGTCATAGTTGCACATCCTTCTAGTTGCTGTATGTGGGACACGGCCTCAGCATGGCCGAAGAAGCGGTGCTTCAGTGCGCGCCCGGGATCTGAACCCGGGCCGCCAGCAGCGGAACGCACGCACCCAACCGCTAAGCCACAGGGCCAGCCCTCTTGCCCATTTTTAAAAATGTACTGGCTGTCTTTTTCTTATTGATTTGCTGGTGTTCTTTATGTATTCAAGAAATGAATCCTTCATTGGATAAATAAATAGCCAATATAGTCTTCCACTCTGTGGCTTGTCTTTTCACTCTGATGATGTCTTTGAATGAACAGAAGTTTTTATTTTAATGTAGTCAAATGTATCCTTTCCTTCCTTTATGGTTAGAGCTTTTATTGTTTTAGAAAAATTTGCTAACCCTGAGATCATAAAGATATTCTCCTATATATTCTTTTAGAAGCATTAGTGTTTCACCTTTCACACTTAGGCCTCTGATCCATTTGGAATTGATTTTTATGCACAGTGTGAGGAAGAGATAAAAATTCACTTTTTCCCACTTTGATATCTAATTGACTCAGCACCATTCACCAAAAAGATCATTCTTTACCCATTGCACTGCAGTGTCACGTTTGTTGTAAATCAGGTGAGCACATTTATGTGAATTTATTTTTTGATTCTACTCTGCACAACTGAACTATTTTTCTGTCCTTACACCAACACTACACTTGTGTTTCTGTAATAGGTATTAAGATCTGGTGTTGTAAATTCTCCAGTTTTGTTCTTATTCAGAGTTGGATTGACTCTTTGGCTCTTTGTATTTTCCACATAAATTTTAGAATCAAGCTGTCAATTCTCACACACACACACACACACACACACACACACACACACACATCCCTGCTGGAATTTTGACTGAAATTGCACTGAATCTACACATAAATTTGGGGAGAACTGACTTAACTGTCTTAACAGTATTGAGTCTTCCAATCCTGAAACATTGTCTATCTCTCCATTTATTCAGATTTTCTTTATTTTAATAATGTTTTGTAGTTTTCAGTGCAGAGGTCTTGCACATCTTTCTGTTAGGCTCATTTCTAGGTAGGCTTATTCTAGGTACTGATGTTTCTGTAGATGTTACCAAAATAGTATCACTGAAAAAATTCATTATTTGTTTTTTGCTGGTATACATAAATACAAGTAATTTTTGTTTATTTTCTTTGTACTCAGGCCTTGATAAATTCACTTTATTTGAAGAGTCTGTTTCTATTTTCAATTTTCTATCTTGGCTTGTGGTCACACAGTATTCTCTATTAACTAGCATGGACATTAATTTTTATTAATTATTTTATTAATTAACACAAAATTTGACATTGTGTATAAACAATTATACAGTCTCCAGATGATAGCTTCCTCCAGAGAGAACTATGTGGAGTAGGGAGAGTGCTAATTACTTTAGGTGAATCAGAGACTGAGCTCAACTGGGACAGCTTTGTAACACCCAGTTTTACCTCAATTTGTCCTGGTTCCTAGGGAATAGTTCTCCAGGGATTTTGCCTTAGATGATGTCCCCAATAAATTATGGTAGCTTCACTCATTTTTCCAGATCAGGGATACCTCAGCATTTCCCCTTGGCTCACTCCTATTGTCCGTGCTTTCCTGTCGTGGAATAACTGAATTAATCTTTCCAAGGTCACATAGCTATAAAAAAGGAGTGGGGGCCAAAATCAGGCAGGGTGGCTCCAGAGCCCACGCTCTTAAAACTGCAGTGCCTATAATACATCAGAGACAGTGCCAGACGCAGACCAAAGCTCTCACAGGGTTTAGATGCTCACATTTAGAAAACAGCTATAAAAACTTAAATCTATTTTTAAAAAAAGAGAGAAGAAAATCCATCAAACATCTATCTCACTTTTTGGCTCCTCTATTTCAGAAAAGGAACTATTAAAAATAAAGGCCTTAGGGAGTGATGTCAGCATCATGGTGGAGTGAGCTTTCCCCCTTAGACTCTCCCCTCCTAAGATACAAAAAGAACATTCATATACCAACAGATGACATTCACACAACACAAAAGACGTCTGAGAGACCTATAGAGCCACACGTCTGAAGGTGGAGGCATTGGAACCCCTGGAGGAAGTGGAAGGAGGTAAGGAGAACTTCTCTCCTTCCCCAACGACAGCGACCCTGGTACCAGGTCTGCATGGCTCTCAGGGAGGGGGAGGGGTGGCCCTGCAAGGGAAAACTGTCGCTCTCCAAGTTCTCTCACAGCCTTTGAGAAATTCCCATATGGAGGGGACTGAACTGTTGCAGGGGTGCCTTCATCAAGCTAGCACCCCAGGAGAGAGAGAGCGAGGGAAGAATGAGAAGACCCCGGGATCAGGTGGGTGAAAGAAAGTGCCCGTCTCCCCGCCCAGTGCCCCTCTACCCGCCCAGACCAGTACAGCCGGTCAGCCAGGGCGTCCGTGGATCAGGGAGGGCTCAGAATACACAGCCCTTGACCTCCACCCAGTGGAGGCAGGTGGAAGCAGCAACCACATATTTTCAGGATGAGGAAAAATAAGCCCATACCCTCAAGCCGTATGCAAAAATATATTAAATCTCCAGACCAGAAGGAAAATGACAAGCACTCAGAAATCAATCCTGAAGGCACAGAAATTTATAACCTAAATGACAGAGAATTCAAAATAGCTATCATAAAAAAGCTTAACGAATTACAAGAACATACAGATAGACAGTTCAATGAAATCAGGAACTTCTTCACTCAAGAGATTGAAACTATAGAGAAAAACCAATCAGAAATGTTGGAGATGAAAAACACAATGGAGGAGATAAAGAAAAATCTGGAATCTTTAAAGAACAGAGCTGACAACGTGGAGGAAAGAATTAGCAATATTGAGGATAGGAATGCAGAAATGCTCCAGCTGGAGGAGCATAGAGAACTAACACTAAAGAGAAATGAAGAAATTCTCCAAGAAATATCTGACTCAATTAGGGAATGTAACATAAGGATTATAGGTATTACAGAGGGAGAAGAGAGGGAAAAAAGAGCAGCGAGCTTGTTCAAAGAAATAATAGCTGAGAACTGCCCAAATCTGAGGAAGGAGCTGGAAATACAAGTGAATGAAATAAATAGATCTCCTAAATATATCAACATGAAAAGACCCTCTCCAAGGCATATAGTAATAAAGATGGCAAAAGTCAATGGTAAAGAAAAACTATTAAGGGCGGCAAGACAAAAAATATATATATATATATAACGTACAAAGGAATTCCTATTAGGCTCTCAGCCA